GTCCAAGTACAAGTAGAATTGAACACTGCTGCAATACAATTTTAAGGCAGAGCATTGTAATGCCTGGGGAATCATCCAATCAAAGTCAACTTAGTCATTTTTGATTTAATTAATTGAATCAAAGATATGGTTGACAATTCACACTATTTTATTTATTGTTCTGAAAGAGAGTTTCAAAAACCAGACCGGATGTGATTGTTAATTCACAATTCAAAAATTGACTATCAAAAATTACATCGAAGGACATCAGAAATCATATTCAAGGACTTTTGGACAACTTATATATTGTTCATTTTTTATTCACCTAATTAGCAGTTTGGGTATGCGAAAATATTCAGAATCTTCAAATGAACACTCATCTTTGACTGATGAGTGGATTTATTAATAGCTTACCTAAAATAAAATGAACTGCACTCTATATACTGTACATACATTGTGTATTGATCTATTGAGAATCTTTAAATGAAGATTCATCTTTGACTGAGGAGTGGATTTTTTTCTTTTGGAAGGGATTTATACAGCTTGCCTTAAAAAGAATTCAACATGTCAGTAATTATGTCGAGAGATTGCGATGAATTACCGTATTTCTGTTCAGTGCTAACACTGCTTAACGAGCTGAGTTCTCGTCAAACAACAGTTACTTTTGCAGAATCTTATATCGAAACCTGATTTGAGCATTATGTAGGTCTGCAAAGCTGTAGAGTTATGCATATGTATACTAGTCTTTGACCATAACTGTATCGTTATGGTTTTATATATTGGTCATTGACCATGATACGGTCAAAGACTAATATATAAAACCATAAAGCTACGGTCCTGCAACTAAGCATTATGCAAAACATCCATGCACTGCAATACCGGTATACTAGTATTGCATTGTACTGCTTGACGAAAAGTCTTTTTAAAACACATGTGATCTATAATTAATTGTACGATTTGTGAATAATATGTTAAAGATGTAAACAATTTAGGCCAGTGTTCTTCCTTAAACTGGGTTTGTTAATATTTACTCGATAAATTTTGATACGATTGTTCTCTTCCTATATATACATTCAGAATTTAGAATTGGTAATAACGATACTTTATAATAAAGTTACATTTTGTTTCTGTGTTGCACTTGTTCGAGTAGCCAAAACAATGTAAAAAATCAAGTGAACGCTTGACTAAATGAGTGAACGTTTTGAAACTCAATCTAACGAAGCAACGATTTACTTTGTATACTTCGCAAGCAAACGCAGATTCAGTCCTGCATGCTTAGCATTTCTTGTATAGTAAGATAAACTCGTCAACCAAAGGCAATCTTGTCATGATGAAACTTGACCATTGCTGAGGGACACTATTGCAGTCTTAAATAGTATACAAGCCTGTTATCCATTAGCTTTGCCTAAACATTTGCATAATATAAAGCAGAAAGCAAAGATCGTGTTGTCTACGTTGTTCAAAGGGCCATAATTTGAATTATCGAACTTTGAAATAAACTTCTATGATGCAAATTTCACAACATACATTCAATCCTTCAAGAAAAATTGTATAAATAGGATGTCTGGAAGGGTATATGGTGGGGGAATAATAAACTGGCTTACCTGTTTAATCCTCAATATACAGTCATTTCGCACGAATGAGACAGGAACTGCCAGTCTAGGGGACTAAAATACTCACTTGTCCAAATACAAGCAGAACTGAACACTGCTGATTTCTGCTACAATAGCATGCAGAGCATTGTCATGCCTGGGGAATCATCCAATCGAAGTCAACTTAGTCATTTTTGTTTTCATTAATTGAATTAAAAATAAAAATTAAAAAATATGGTTGACAATTCACAATATCTTATTTTTTGTTCTGAAAGAGACTTTCAAAAAACAGCCTAGACGTGATTGTTCATTCACAATTCTTTTATATTTTTCTCATTATTCTTTGATATGAATCAAACATTAACTATCAGAAATTACATCGAAGGACATCAGAAATCATATCGAAGGACTTTTGGACAACTTATATATCGATAATTTTTATTCACCGAATGGCCAGTTTGGGTATGCGAAAATATACAGAATCTTTAAACGAAGATCCATCTTTGACTGATGAGCAGATTTTTTAATAGCTTACCTAAATAAAAATAACTACACTATATATACTGTACATACAGTGTGTATTGATATATTGAGAATCTTTAAATGAAGATTCATCTTTGACTGATGAGCAGATTTTTTAATAGCTTACCTAAATAAAAATAACTACACTATATATACTGTACATACAGTGTGTATTGATATATTGAGAATCTTTAAATGAAGACTCGTCTTTGACTGATGAGTGGAGTTTTTCTTTTGCAAGAGATTTATACAGCTTGCCTTTAAAAGGATTTTACATTTCAGTAATTGTCGAGAGATTGTGATGAAGTACCGTATTTCTGTTCAGCGCTAACAGTTTAAAGAGCTGCTCATGATGAGTTTTCGTAAACAAACAGTTACTTTTGCGGAATCTTATATCAAACCTGATTTGAGCATTAAGTAGGTCTGCAAAGCTGTAGAGTTATGCATTTATATACTAGACTTTGACCATAACTGTAGCGTTATGGTTTTATATACTAGTATTAGTCTTTGACCATGATATGGTCAAAGACTAATAACCATGATATGGTCAAAGACTAATACTGAGTATATAAAACCATAAAGCTACGGTTCTGCCACTAAGCATTATGCAAAACATCCATGCACTGCAATACCAGTATATTGCATTGTACTCCTTGACGTACAGTTTTTTTAAAACACATGCGATCAATGTTTAATTCATCTATGATTTGTGAATAATATGTGGAAAATGTAAACAATTTCCAATTTGGTCTAGTGTTTTTCCTTAACACTAGGTTTGTTAATATTTGCTCGATAAATTTTGATACGATTATATTCTTCCTATATAAATTCAGAATTTAGAATCGGTAATAACAATACTTTATAATAAAGTTACATTTTGTTTCTGTGTAGCACCTGTTCGAGTAGCCAAAACATCGAAAAGTCACGCAAACGTTTGACTTAATGAGTGAACGTTATGAAACTCAATCAAAAAAGCAACGATTTAGTTTGTATACTTCGCAAGCAAACGCAGTTTCAGTCCTTCATGCTTAGCATTTCTTGTGTAGTGAGATAAACTCACCAACCACGAGCAAGCTTGACATGACGAAACGTTCATTCGATGAGGGACTCTCTAAAGTATTAAATAGTATACAAGCCTGTTATCCATTAGCTTTGCCTAAACATTTTCATAATATAAAACAGAGAGCAAAGATCGCTTTGTCTACGTTGTTCAAAGGGCCATAATTGAATTATCGAACTTTGTAACAAACTTCCATTATGCAAATTTCACAACTTTCATTCAATTGTACAAGAAAAATTGTATAAATAGGATGTCTGGAAGGGTGGATGGTGGGGGAATAAAATACTTGCTTGTTCAAATAGAAATAGAACTGAACACTGGTGCATTCTGCTGCATTACAATGCAATGCATTAAAATGCCTGGGGAATCAGCCAATCAAAGTCAACTTAGTATTGTCTATTCACACTATTTTATTTATTGTTCTGAAAGAGAATTTCAAAAACCAGACCGGATGTGTTCTCATTTGTTCTCAGTATTCTTTGATATGACTTAAAAATTAACCATATATCAGATATCACATCGAAGGACATCAGAAATCATATTGAAGGACTTTTGAACACCTTATATATATATACATAGCTATTTTTTATTCACCGAATAACCAACGTTAGTATACATGTATTTATATTTGTTTCTTAAACATTCTAGTTGTCGAGATGCACACACATTTTTTCATCAAAAATTTAAATTATCTGATTATTTCTAGATTTGAAATAAATATATATATATACATTACACAAAATCCAGGAAGAATCTACTGTATTTAAATAGGTTAGATATGTCACAAGAGAAAATATATTTATATAAAATAAAGAAAAGTTAACTGGGGCTGGAAGACACCGGTTTTCATTTAAAAAAAAATACATTAAATGTGTTTGATCTTAGTGTCGGGTAAAATGAAAAACGCTCATTGATTCAAGTTCATATGTATGGTTCCTTCCGTATTTTCCAAGATGAAAGCTTTCTTCACTTAATGTACAGTTTACGTACATATAGGTTAGGTACTTTTTTTCAAACATGATTTTTCTTGCCTGAAGGAGTCAGAATATCAAGTTTTTTGAAGCAATTTTCAAAGTGTATATAATGTAAATTTTAAAAAAATTCAAATCTATTTTTTATTAACAATCTGGAAGACGAATTCCTATAATATGTTTTGGTAACAAAATGATTAGGATTTCAAATGTTCTAAGTCTTTTTCTTAACCCACATATGATTTTCATAATTTCTCAAGTATGTATCGTTGTACAAAACTCCTGAATTCATATTTTAGTGAGTAGTAAAGAAAGAGGTATGATTGCTAGATCATTTACTTGAACCTGTTTTGTAGTTTTGTTCGTACGCCAGGATTTTTACGAAATTTAGGAATACAGTAATTTATTTTGGGTTTAAGAATGAAGATGAAAAGAAAGCACCAAAGTTTAACGGAGGGATTTTAATGTTGTTGGGTGTGTTGTTTTTTTTTTCATTTAATGTGTATTGTAGTACTGAGTAGTCAAACCATTGCTGTTATCAAAGGTTTTTTCTGCTGCAAATTATCAAAGAAAGCGAAAGATCATCGCTATGTTTAAAAAACAAGAAAATGGACAATAAATGTTTGTTACCATACGTAAACCATACGGTACACATGAATTTTTTTCTTTAGATAACATGAGAAATGCTGCTTAAAACGAAAGTAGCCAAGGAAATTTCGCTGTCTATAAATAGAATTATTTTTTCTGGTAGAGTAAGATATTACCTGCTTACTGTGATTCTGCCTCTATTCATTCACGTGAGTTTATTTATTTGTTTAGAATATGTATTCTATTTAAGGTTGTAATGATGTATTTATAAATTACAGCATGGTCAATACTGACTGGAATTCCCGGTTTTTAGTTTCATATCCAAAATTGTACTCTGAATACTATAATTAGGATATTTGCTACTGACAGCTACTTTGGATTTTAGAAAAGCATTTGAAGATTGGGATGCTGGAAAAGGAGGCTTTCTTACAAACGAAACATATACTGGTAAGTCTGTGATTATAATAAATATTCTTTATGAATATTGATAAGTGTACAATCATGCCCTTTTTGCGTTTTAATATTCCATTACATTATCTATATGTTTTACGTTGTTTAAAGGAATAGTTTTATTAAAATACGAGGGTTGATCCAAAAGTAATGTCACTGTGTCCATATCTTTTATATTTGGCGTCATATTGTCGAATATACTATACCAACAGATGCACAAATTCAAATCTAATTAAACTTGAATTTTTCATTCAATAATGTTTAACTGAATTTATCTTATAGATGTTTAAAGCATAGAACATAAGGGGTGTCGCCGCGTCACAACTGAACGTCATAGATTTAAGTGTACTTTTTATATAATTTTACAAAAACATTAAAAAGCATCTTTTAAAAGAACCTAAACAAAAATATTTTAGAAGTAAAAAAATTTACATCATTTTCTAGTCTTATGTTGAAAATTATATGGCATAATTGCTATTTTTGAAAAAAAAAAAAAAAAAAAAAAATCGTTGTTTTACTCCGGTGCGTTGAAAAAAGGAAACTGTTTTGCATTTTGCTTAAAAATTTAGAAATCGCCAGTTGAGACAGTTACGTTGACTCACTAGACTCACAGAGAAAAGAATGTAAATAAGACATTTATTTGGATGATTTCAGCGAATTTGGGTGGGTGATGGTTTATTGAATGTTCAGAAGATGACAAGATCGAAAGATAGGTGGGCGGACGGAAACGTTCAATGGTGTGTGACGTTGTCAAAAAAGACAGACGGTTAGGGCGATATATGAAATTTTAAGTTGGTCTTTTACGACTGTTCAAAGAAATTTGACAGACGAATTAATTATGGAAAGAGTGAGTGTACGACGGGTACCAAGTTTTCTTTAAGAAAGTGAAACTTGTGAACGTGGATCTCAATTTTTTTAACGAAACTAAGGGAAGCGTTGAAATGTATGACGGCGCTTTCCATCATATGACGTTATTTAGGTGCGGCGAATACCATAGTCGCACGATGAATATAATCCGATATTTTCAAAAGTATAAATCATGTCGAATTGAAATTTGCAGGTCTGGTTTGAAATAAATGTAGCTTTCATCATTAATAATTTTGTTGTTTTACGTCGACTAGTAGCGATTTTATCGAAGTTGTGACATTACTTTTGGATCAACCCTCGTAACTTACAAATTTTGAACGCATTCATTAAAATATTAGTTATTATATACTTTGGTTAGCATTGAGTTTAGGATTATGTGCAAGACTTTAAATAATCAAATTAAGAAGCGCGCAACAACTGACTTCACATAATCATTTTAATACCAGCTAGGTTCCTGTATATCTTGCACAATTCATGTCAAAACGAAAGTGGAGAAGGATACACGAATTAACAAATTTGCTTTTTGTAGTAAATACACAACTGCATCAGTGCTATTTTATTTGATCCATTTTGCAGAAAAGATAGGTACATTTATAGAAATCATGCTTTAAAAATTAACCTTTTTGTTCACACGATCTGCTGTGCTCTCAATTTTATATTGCTTTATTCGATTTTGGAACTTAGTCACTGTTCACATTAATTTTTCTTAAACAGTATTACAGTGTCAGTCAAGAGCTCTTAGAGTATTTTAATACCACCAGTGGTAGATACATGAGTTATGGATGGACAATATTTGGAGACTGCAAAGCTGAAAGAGAATTTTCTTGAGTGCACAGTTTGCAACCTTAATTTTGACGATCAAGATCATGTTCCCCGTCTGCTGAATTGTCTGCATGCTTTCTGTTCTTCATGTCTCGAGAAGATTGTAAAAGACGAAGAAATCACATGCCCTTACTGCCAGAAAGTCCACGCAGCAAAAGGAAATGACGTCAAAATTTTTCCCAAAGACCCTACCAGACGAGATTTGATGGATTTCGTCAGAGCTGCTTCTCACGACTCGGAGACTCAAATAAACTGTGATCTGTGTGACGAGAATAAGGTGGCAACACATCGCTGTAAGGAATGTCAAGGATGTTTTATTTGTGATGAATGCTTCAGAAATCACCAAAAGATGAAAACATTTAAGGATCACAATCCACTATCTTTGACGGACTTGCCTCAAGATACTTTTGCCGGACTTGAGCATTTCAGTCATGAGGAAATGTGTCCCGAGGTAGGACATGACGAAGCATTAAAGATGTACTGCTCAGATCCATGCAGGAAACCGATTTGTACTCTTTGCGCATGTACTACTCACAAAGATCATAAAAATCTTACAATATCTGATGTTTATCAAGAAGAAAGTAAGTCAATTGAGGATATTTCCAAAGAAATTGAAAAAAAGATAGAAAGCTCTGAAAAAGTTATAGAAGCAGTTGATGCAGAGATAGTAAACTTGCCTGAAAAGGTCAATGAGCAGAAAGAAGCTGTTCGGGCTCAATTTGCAAATGCAATTAGTTTGCTAGAAAGAAGAAGAGACGAACTTTGCAAAGCTATGGATGAGCACGAAGAAAGAAACACCAAACTCTTAGAAGTACAAAAAGAGGAAGTAAAGAAGTATAAAGACTCTTGCATCGAAGCAATTCATTTTCTTCAAACTTCTCTTGCCCACAAGAATAAACCCGCTTTCCTAAGACTTGCACCAACCATTAGAACACGACTTCAGGAACTGGAGAAAACATCTCTCGATGTAGAACCGCATGCTAAAGTCGGTTGTGTCAATTTTGAAAAGTTCAGTTTGAAGGAATTTTCAAACACAGTTACAGGGATGGGCCGAGCATTATGCACATACGTATATGCTCCTAAAACTTCAGTCTCTTTTAGCAGCAAGAAATTTGAGGTTGGAGAGGAAAATATGTTCCAAATAGACTTGAGATCTGTCAATGGGATACCCATCGATAATGAGGACGTCGCTGTTGTTCTTGAATCCGAAGATGAAAGGAATGTTCGCATATTGTGCAAATACGACGACAGTTTGAATAAGTATGTTGGCAAATGGTGCCCCGATGAAGCAAGAAAATATGGCTTGAAAATACTTTGTAATGGAGTGCCCCTTGATCTTCAGTTTAAAAAGATAAATGTCGGAAATGCATCGTTGCCGTCTGGTAAGTGTTTGATTTCACCTTGATACTAAAGAAGTTTTTAAATTTTATTAGGTCATAATGCATGTAATCATTTTAAAAGAAGGAAAATGAAAGTAAGATAATTATTTTATTTTGTACATTACTAGCTCCAGAATACAGTGCTCCGACTATTTACGTCAAATGATTTTACAAGTTTGTTTCCAAATGTTTACATCTTATAAAAACAGAAATCATCACAATAATGGCGTTATTCATGTTATTATAGGGACGAAAACTGAAAATCAAACAACACCAAAAGAGAGTAAAAAATTCAAGTAAGTAAAAATTTGAATAAAATATTCCAAAAATTAAAATAGTAATAAAAGTTAGCCAATACTTTGTTTTTTTTCTCTGTTTGTAGTCTTGGTCCAGGAATGTTAAGTCGCAGGAAAAGCAGGTATATATTTGTGAAAATCTCTTCCAAGAAATATAAATATGCAGTCTTGCTAAGGCCAAAAATTCACTTTTGATTGTTTGTTTGTTTGTTTGTCTAACATTCCTTCGAGAATTTTTCATTCAAACTGAGACATAACACTTGCAAGTGAAGTACTCCAAATTTAGACTTAATTGGTACTTAGGATACATGAGCTGTGAGAGGTCATTTTCATGAGAGAGAACGGAACCTAGGTTTATACGGTTTCATCTGAAAGACCGGTCTCCACGCCCCGCAGCGGGATTCGAACCCGCGATGTTTGGATCAACTTCTTATTCCGCTACTCTAGAGCAAACGCTCTGAACACTGCGTTACGTGAGTAACAACATGTACTATGTATGGTACTTGGATTTTCAACAGCTGAGGAAAGGTTCAACACTAATCACATTTTGTCCGTCCGTCTGTAAACATTCTACATTTTCGACTTCTTCTCAAGAAACACTGGGTCAATTTCAAACAAACTTGCCACAAAGTATCATTGGGTGATGGGGATTCAAGTTTGTTAAATTGAAAGACCATGCCCTCTTCCAAGGGGAGATAATTATAATTAGTGAAAAATTAATGACATCTTTTAAAAATCTTCTTCACAAGAACCACTGGGCCAGGAAAGATAAAACTTCTGTGGAAGCATCCTCAGATAGTGTAAGATACCCCCGGGGTCACAACGGAAAATCTGTTTTACAAGGAATATATAGAGAGAAATCGTCTGTTCAAGAACAGTAAAGCCATTGTCATTGGTATGGAAGCATTCTCAGGTAGTTTAAAATTCCAGCCAAAATTTTCAATACAGAACTGATTTGTGTTCTTTTTCCTTAGCCAATATGCTCAGGTGAGCGATGTGGCCCACGGTCCTCTTGTAATTAGATTTTACAAATTTTTACGATGGATTTCATAAGCAGGACAAATAAGAATAAAATGATATTCATCCTCAACACAATTGGAACACACACAGGAAACAATCTCTAGGATGTCTTTCTGGATTATTATATCGACTTGTTTCTAGTGCATGTCAATTGGTGTGATAACATATTCAATTTAGAAATCCAATTATTTATATTTAGTGGATATGGGTTTACGTAAGTAAAATTGTAATTTGTAATTTAGTATTTTTAAAAGAACATTTTCTAAAACTATCTAATTGAGAAAGAAAATTGTGTCTTGCTTTGTCAAAAATTCATTGCTTGTCGATGAGAAGGTATGCTTATTTATTTTTTTCCGCTTTTCCACTACTCAACAAACCTAAATTGCATAAAATACTTTTAACATTTGACAACTAGTTTTTCGTATGATGTATATCACCCATTCATATAAAATATATAAAGTTATGACAATGTTGTATTATACAACTGTTTTGGTCAAGTACTTTTTTCCCAAAACTTCATTGAACGTATATACCGAGGTTGCTTCTAAAATGTCACTCATAAGCATGAATGTTGCGTTATTTAAGGGGGATGTACAAGCCATATTGGATCTAGTCTGGTGTAATTAAGAAATACAAAGAATGCGCTTAATACTCTACTAAACTAGCCCAAAGTTACTCAAAGTGCTAATGCACTAATTACCTACTGTTAGAGACCAAAATTAGTTAATAATAAAGTTTTTTTGTTTTATTTAGGAGGAAATTAATCATGTTAGAACTGCGCAGCTACAGCATTCACGAGATGAAAAATGCACTGAATATAGTGTTAGTTTGATTCATTGATAATATGGCTACAACCATTTGTTTCGCTTTTTTCTTGTCATTATCCATAATTCTTCAAAATTTGATTTTTCATATGGGTGTCTTCCTGAGGCCATGTGTTTATTTCGTCCGCCATTCCTCTGTCACACAGAGTTCGAATAGCATTGGTTTTAGAATAAATGCGACCATAATAACATCAAGACAAGAAATTACTAAGTAATAATCATTAGGTTATATTACTTACTACTTTTATTTGTTGCATTGCATCGTCTGATTACTGAAAAAAAGCTATTTTAACCCCACTTCAGCAAATCGGGAAAAACTGTTCTGTTTACAGCTCGAGTTTCCTCGATAATATCATTCCACTGAACACGTGGTTGGCATGTGCATATATCTGCTGTGGATAGATGCGTTTATTAACATGATTATATTTAATTTTTCATGGAACAAGTCTTGATGATTTGTTGGTTTCTTTAAAACTCAAGAAAAAAGATAAAACATGTCCTAAACATATGTGATTACGGCGGGTCTTTTTTCTGTGGCGATAGAAGTTATTTTCAAATGGGGCACTGCAAGGAGGATGCTTAGCATTTAATTTGAAAATGTTAAACAACATGCGGTGCATGAAAAACAAATTGTAATTACATGTCTTACATTCGAAAAGTTGGTACATGTGTCTGTTTTGTTTAGCAGTTAGATAGAAAAAATAGGCAGTTATAGGATTTCCTTCAGGCACCTCACATAAATAGCTAGATTGTTTACAATGAACCACACTTTGTATGGAGTAATGTTTGGACATAAAAACGCATCATGTCTCAATAAGTTGACAACATTGTAAGTTCCCGCTCAATGAACATACGAAGCTTGATAAAATATATTGAGCTGTTTCTTTGAAATTTAGAAGCAAGCACAACATGCACAATGTTTGCAAAGAAAAGTCCATTGCATATGCTATGTCTATCACGCAAAAAATGAGAGGCTATACCCCCCCCCCCCCCAAAAAAAAAAAAATGTTTATTTGACAGAGTATACAAGGGTAGATCAAGAAGTAAACGATATATCTTAGGTATTTGATAGTTACTAGTATAGTCACCCATTCTCAGAATAAGTGGTCATTTTGACTAAATGCATGTCTCCTCGCCCTACTTGAAAAATATGGTGTATTTAAAACGTTTTATGTGATCTTTTTCAGACATATGTAACTATACTTACAGGCTGAGAACAAAAACTCCTTCAGAAATCGATATTTTAAAAAATACAAAGCAGAAAACCTATCAATTTTGTCAATTTTTGCGTGTCGCCAATAGGGTATCTTAAGTTTCCGCATTTATAAAATCATCTGTATGTTTCTAGAGCTCTTCATTACATCTTAGTTTCATGACACATATGCAGGCATTTATTTTAAATAAGTACTTAAATGTTTACGACCATATTCCGAATTCATTTTTCAACTTGATTTAATGTCGCTTAAAAGTATGTAAGCTACGTTGCCGATTATAAATGTGTCTTTTACAATCTTAAATATCTTTTACCTCGTATATAAACATTCAAAAATTAATTGAATTTTATTGATCTGTCAATTAAAATTTGAATCAAAATACACAGGGGACAAAATATCTTGTACGAGCATCTGTAACCTGTATCTTTGATCCGTTGTTTTAAGAGTGTAAGCTACGTGATCATGAAAAAACTATTATGGTAAATATATATCTAGATTTCTGTGTGTTTATTTTATAATACATTCTGTGTATGGTTATTTGTAGATCGAACAATTACAGTAGTCAGTACAAAATGTATGATTCTACCTACTAATAGTCAAGATGTAATTTACGTTGCGTAATCTACGTTGCCGTGATATTAAATAAAATGTAATAGTCAAGCAGTATAGATTCTTTTTTATGAAATTATATATATAGTTATGTTGAGTTCTGTTTTTGCACTGTATATGACCATCTACCGCTTCTGTCTGAACGGCACGCCCGCTAAAGCTGTTAAACTGCGGATTTCAACGTTGAAAAAAGAAACAATAAAATATCTGTCCTAATCCAATTTTAAAGGTTAGAAATTATATCTTTAAAATAAATTTTGATTTAATTCAAATGCTCTAGATCATATGTTAGATAAGTTCACCCTTCGTAAATTGTAATCATTGAAAATTGTCGAAAATATGTAATCAAACAGTCATAGTATGGTAAGCTACGTTCTTTGCTTGCTTGTCTATCACTTATCAAGTGATGATTTATATACATGAAAATCTCTATCTACGAAGTAATTTCATCATTTTATTCAGAAGTTTGTAAGACTGAAGATTTAAATCTTGGTAAATATGATTAATAAAGTAACATAGAGTATCGATAACGTAGCTTACGTTTTATCTCAGATAAAAGAGATATCGAAAACATCAATACAGACAAAGTGTATGGAAATATTTTTAAATTTTGCTGGTTATAGTCTTTTGTCTATCAAAGATCATTCATATATTCAAAAATTTTAGTATTTTATGGTTAACTTGGGTAGTAAATGATGTTTTTCGTAATCTACGTTGTGTACCCTGTAAGCTACGTTACAGTAATGATATTCTGTGTTTCTCTTTCGATGTTAGCTTTAAGAAATCTGTGTTTTTTTGAATTGCATTGAATATGATTTAATCAAACATTTCATTTATTCAGTTTCTAATATTGATGATACTCAAAGTTCTTTTTAACTTAAAAGATGAACGAAAAAAGAGTTTTTGTAATGAACAATTGGTGTTATACATTGATTGGTTTGTGTTATCGTAAATACTTTAAATTGATTAAGTTTAGGACATTTTTCGAAGGAAAGTAGTTCAACTTACCACAAAACACACATTTTCTTTATTTTTATTAATTCTTATGAGAAATTCTCAGGTTTATCATTAATGTAACTGTGGCAACGTAAGTTAACTGTAATTTTGATGGGTGTTACTTATGGATTCATATCTTTTACATTTATTTTACCCGAGTATTCAAATTTTGTGAACAAACAGGTGAAATACAAAGGTATAAAATAAGACCAAAATCATAAAGATAAACAAAAAATATTATTTTCACAAACTCTGTTTGAAAATATCGACTTATTTTGAGAATGGATGATTATTGTTGAAATATTCAAGTATTTTTCAAAGTGTAAATTGGAGGTCTTTGATTTTCAAAGTGTAAATTGGAGGTCTTTGATAGCATATTGCTTAATTAAAAACACATATCCCTAGCTTTTCAAACTTGCTAATATATCACTGGGCAATATAACAAGTATCATATTTAACCATCTGCCTTCCTTCACTAAAACGATCTATCCAATCATTGATTGAATTTGTAGGAAGCCATTTGTCTTAATAAACTATGAATAAATTCTTATATGCTACTTCAAAGGCATTTTTAAGATATACCATAAATATTATACCATAAATATTTTAGTCGTTTGTTCAACGAGTTCCACTGAGGCAACCATTTTTCGTCACAAGTACCTGCATAATGACGTCATTATGCTATTTTATAGAACTTGTGTTTGGCTATGTGTGCACCAAATTTGTTTCTAATCTGAATTGTGGTTTTGTAGATATAGAGATAGTTCGCGAACTTTGTGATCACCCCTCGTACTAGTAGGTACTAAATCAAGGTCATTCATATCGATTTTATGTGTTTAATTTCTTTGTGTTTCATTGGTGATAATTAAAATTTTGATATATATTATAAGTTATCTGTGGCAAACTTCTTAACTTTGATGGTGCTTATTTTTCCTTACCTGGAATCAAAGAGTTTAAGATTTTTTTTCTTTGATATCAATAAGTGCATTATTTAACAACTGTTCGATAATAATACTAAATAAATTACTTCAAGCCATACTATAACACATTTCCTCTTTTAAAAGTGTTCATGCAATTTGAAATATTTTGCAACTGTAATTCTCTTCTACATTTAAAGATTGTTATGTCCCTCCATATTAAGAAGAGGTCTGGAAAACAAAATACTGTGCTAAAAATAGACCACGTGCTGCTACCCATGAACTACTTTCATGGTTCTTTACACTCTTTTGAAGACAATGATACCTTGTTTTGAACTTGAAATTATCATTTAAGAGTGCCAAATTTAGACATTTTCTCAACAAATGGTTGTAGAGAGAACATTGATGCACAGTTTGCATATTTTTTTGGATTTTTTTAGGCTCTGCTGAATTCTGTAGCTGCGCAGTTCTAAGGAGCATATCAAAAGCATTTTTCTGCAAAAGTATAGATTATATATGCACAACATGCATTCAGTTATGAATATTTATTGTATCTTTATCATAAGGACTTAAAATTTGATCAAAATATGATGTATTTTAGCCATTTGAAGAAATGTTTACATTTTGTTCTCACAGCACTAAAGGTGGCCGTACATCCCCCTTAACGGTATAAACACGGCAAGTTGAAAGATAACTCAGATATATTACTTTTCATGTTTCGGTACTAGCGTATAGTATATTTCAATAGATAAAATTATGACAGCTACTTTCTTTCTTCAACACTTTATGCCTGTATCTTCAGCATTCTTCTGTGCTGTGAATGCTAGTAAATTAATGGTTCTTCTCTAACTTCTGCAATTTGTAAAAGATAATAGAAAAACACTTTTTATTTTTAAATGCAGAAATTCCAACGCACATGCTTAGATTACTAGTCCTAATACATGCATGAGACAAATAGTTCTTATTTCACTTTCTACGTAGAAGTATAGGAAAGCTTCTAACTGGAATAGATGCTCAGACAGCAGGGGATTGTAAGATCTGTATGGACATATGTCAGATTCCAAAACAGCTTCCTTGTAAACACAACTTCTGTAAGAAGTGCATCGATCCCTTCATGAAGACGAAACAGAAATGTCCGTTTTGTGAGAAGGTGTACGGGAAGATTTATGGAGATCAGCCAAAAGGAAGAATTATGTTTCAAAGAGAAAAGAAATGTCTCCCTGGATATGAAGGACATGGGACAATCATCATTTTCTATATCATTGATGCTGAAAAGCAAGGGGTTTGTTCAAATTCTATCATTTTTCTCCGTTTTTCTAATGAATGGGAAATGCTTAATTTTAACCCTCTATATGTATCTTTGAGACAGAGAGAACACCCACATCCTGGTCGTCAGCTAGGTGGCAGATTGGAGAGGAGTGCATTCTTACCAGACAATAAGGATGGTCGTCTGATTGCCAAGCTTTTGAATATTGCTTTTAGCAGACGACTCATTTTCACCGTCGACAAGTCACAGACAACAGGCGAGGAAGACGCGTTGGTGTGGAATGATATTCACCACAAGACCCGCCGTGACGGTGGATCCGAACAGTAAATTTTGATTTCTGTTACTTCAAATGCTATCCTTAAAAAACTGAAGGCTCAGTGAATGCGCTGCTCTCGTTTTAATGACTGTATTTTGTAATTCATTTGATTTCAGGCATGGTTACCCTGATGGTTCTTACCTAAAGAGAGTGTTTGAAGAACTCCAAATAAAGGGCGTGACACCAGAATCTGCAGACGACAGCAGCGAATTTAAAGAATATTCGGCAGTATTCCAATCACAATGAAAAGAAAATAGTCCAGTAGTTATAATTGTTCCAATGGGCGATTTTTAGCTCTACTGGTCAGAGACCGGAAGAGCTTATGCGATAGTAATGCGTCCGGCGTCCGTCCGTCTGTCTGTCTGTCTGTAAACAATTTTTCAAAATGCTACTCCTCCTACAGTTTTAGTCTGATTTCAGTTTAACTTTGCACACAAGTAGACTACACTAAGATAAATAATACTTTATATCGGTTTTTGATTTCGATGAACGGTGTTGCCGTGGTTACTAAAAATAGAAATTTCTGTGAAATTGTTTCAAAACGCTACTCCTCCTACAGTGTTGGTCTGATTTCAATATAACTTGGCACACAAGTAGACTACACTAAGATACATAATTCTCTTTATCGGATTTTGATGTCGATGAATGTTGTTGCGGTGGTTACTAAAAATAGAATTTTCTGTGAAAAACATTCAAAATGCTACTCCTCCTACAATTTTGGTCTAATTTCAATATAACTTGGCAGACAAGTAGACTACACTAAGATACATAATTCTTTTTATCGGTTTTTTGATTTTGATGAACGGTGTTATCGTGGTTACTAAAAATAGACATTTCTGTGAAATTGTTTCAAAATGCTACTTCTCCTACAGTTTTGGTCTGATTTCAATATAACTTGGCAGACAAGAAGACTACACTAAGATACATAATTCTATATATCGGTTTCTGATTTCGATGAATGGTGTTGCCATGGTTACTAAAAATAGAAATTTCTGTGAAATTGTTCAAAATACTACTCCTCCTACAGTTTTCGTCTGATTTCCATATAACTTTGCAAACAAGTAGATTACAATAAGATACATAATTCTATATATCGGTTTTAGATTTCTATGAACGGTGTTGCCATGGTTACTAAAAATAGAAATTTCTGTGAGATTGTTTCAAAATGCTACTCATCCTACACTTCTGGTCTGATTTCAATTTAACTTGGCAGACAAGTAGACTACACTAAGATACACACATCGGTACATCGGTTTTTGATTTAATTTTGCACAGAAGTAGACTAAACTTAGATACACAATTCTGTTAATCAATGTTTGATTTCGATGAACATTATTGCCTTGGTTACTAAAAATAGAAATTTCTGAAAAATACTCTCTAAATGCTACTCCAAATACAGTTTTAGTCTGATTATAATATAATGTGGCATACAAGTAGACTACACTAAGAACATAAAGAGACTTAATCAAGGATTATTATAATTCTATTTGTTGCTGTTGTAAAGTTTCAATTCCCAACTGCTACTTTTCTGTTCTTTTGCTATAAGTACAAACCAGTAGAGCTTCAGTCTCGACAGAGACTTCTGGTTCATTCTTTGAATGTCTTTCCAGTACTTAGATTAAATAATACATTGTACTTAGAACAAAGTACATAAATTTCAAGCGGTTACTCAACTTTTAATTGATACATTTTTACTTACTATTTTTTAACTTGCTTAGAACATAATTTTTTTTTATTTTGATCCAAAGTTCTACACCATGAACTAATTTTTCTCATTTGTCTTAAGTCTTAAAACTTGATATGAAAATTAACTTTTATCTGCATGTCTGTAAGTGAATAACTAATATTGACAATGTATTAAATTAAGTGATTGCTGATTAGATGAAAATAATAATTGGTTTTTAAATGTTCTCAAAAACTGCTTGCATGTGTTTTTAAATTTCATAAGTTCAGTATTTGGATCTGATTATATTACTTACTAATATTTGGGGGGGGGGGGTTCCTGTATAGATTGCTGATAAATGCTTTTGAAGAACTTTTCAGATTTTCAGTCTCAGTAGCCTTATTTTTGTTTTCAGTTGACATACAGTGTATATTATTAGTTTATACAAATATCATGTTGTAAATTTTGAATTTACTAGGGGGGGGGGGGTAAATGCAAAATTTACAACATGTTATCATTTACCTCCCCCTAGTAAATTCAAAATTTACAACATGATACAAAGAGGGGATCTAGAAACTGAAGTACCCATTTTTATGTCCAGCTTTTAAAGTGCCCACTTGTCCATTAGCATTTAACATCATGATTGGACTTTGGCAAGGGTGATTATCACAAGTGGAACGGATCGCTACTGTGGATATTTGAGATAATTAAACTGACACAGTTTGAATATTTATATTTGATTCAATCAAGTTTAGGACGCCGTGTATTAATTCCTGAAAAAAAAATGCCACAATATAAAAAAACCAGAAGTCTCTGTCGAGACTGAAGCTCTACTGTTTGAACTTATAGCAAAGGAAGAGAAAATTACTTAAGCAGCTGGGATTTGAAACTTTACAAGAGCAAAAAATAGAATAATGATCGTTGATAAAGTCTCTTTATGTTCTTAGTGTAGTCTATTTGTGTTATATTGAAATCAGACCAAAACTGTGGGAGGAGTAGCATTTTGAAACAATTTTACAGATATTTCTATTTTTAGTAACCACGACAACACCGTTCATCGAAATCAAAAACCGATACACAGATTTATGTATCTTAGAGTATTCTACTCGTGTGCCAAGTTATACTGAAATCAGACCAAAACTGTGGGAGGAGTAGCATTTTGAAAGAATTTCACAGAAATTTCTATTTTTAGTAACCACGGCAACACCGTTCATCGAAATCAAAAACCGATACACAGAATTATGTATCTTAGTGTATTCTACTTGTGTGCCAAGTTATACTGAAATTAGATTAAAACTGTAGGAGAAGTAGCATTTTGAAAGAATTTCACTGAAATTTCTATTTTTAGTAACCACGGCAACACCGTTCATCGAAATCAAAAACCGATACACAGAATTATGTATCTTAGTGTATTCTACTTGTGTGCCAAGTTATACTGAAATCAGATTAAAACTGTAGGAGAAGTAGCATTTTGAAAGAATTTCATAGAAATTTCTATTTTTAGTATCCACGGCAACACCGTTCATCGAAATCAAAAACCGATACACAGAATTATGTATCTTAGTGTATTCTACTTGTGTGCCAAGTTATACTGAAATCAGATTAAAACTGTAGGAGAAGTAGCATTTTGAAAGAATTTCATAGAAATTTCTATTTTTAGTATCCACGGCAACACCGTTCATCGAAATCTAAAACCGATACACAGAATTATGTATCTTAGTGTATTCTACTTGTGTGCCAAGTTATATTGAAATTAGACCAAAACTGTAGGAGGAGTAGCATTTTGAAAAATTGTTTACAGACAGACGGACAGACAGACGGACGGACGCCGGACGCATTACTATCGCATAAGCTCTTCTGGTCTCTGACCAGTAGAGCTAAAAATGAAATTTAATAATTCTTGATAAATATATGACACAACTTTTAAAAAGGATTTTTTTTCATGTTTTGCAATGAAAATATTTTCATTTTTGTAAACTTGAAAATCTGCTGGTAAATAACAGCTAATTTTGTATTAGTTTGTGTTTTGCAATTTAACCACTATATCAATGTTTTTGTTTGTACTTACTCATTATCAAATAGTAATTTTTTGTAATATTTTTTTAATTGTTGATTAAGTGAAAATAATTGCTATTTTTTAATGTTCTGAAAAGCTGCCTGAATTCAAATTTCGTACATTCAGTAATTGGATCTGATTATATTTCTTTACTTATATTTGTTTTGTTTTTTCTGTATACATGTAATTTGCTCATAAATGCTTTTGATGAACTCTTCATGTTTTTAGTATCATTAATATTTTTCTTTTATCTCAGTACAGATATATAAATAGTAAATATACAAAGAGGGGATCTAGGAATTGAACTACCCATTTTTATGTCCAAAAGTGCTCAAATTAAAACACCATGAAATTGATTAATTTTTGATATTTGATATATAATTATATTTGATTCCAAAACTTTTAAAAAAATTTTTGATAAATTTTTTAAAAAAGGATTTTTTTAATTCATGTTTTGCAATGAAAATATTTTCCCAAACTTTTGTTAACTTGAAAACCTGCTGGTACATCTAAATAACAGCTAGTTTTGTGTTAGTTTATATATGTGTTGCATTTTAACCACTATTAATACTTTTGTTTGTACTTACTCGTTATTTTATAGTAATTTTTTTGTAATTTTTTTTTTTTTTTAATTTTCGTCACTGCCATATACATGGCTTTTATGTCCTAACTGACCAACAGGTTTTTGGATGTTGTATTAAAGCATTAGAGAAGACTCTCAAGTTATAAAAGTCATTTGTTTTACATTTGTTTTTTTTAAAAAAGAATACTGATTATATGATTATTGATCTGGATTTTATGAAATAATCTCCCACCTTGCAATTGTTTTTTCTTACGTCCTTCTATTTTTTTGTGGTTGTTTCGCTTATGTTTAATTAAAAGTAAACATATCGAGTCATAAGTGTTTCATGTGTTTATTTCCAATATTGTATATCAGAAAATCGGCTATGGATGCGTTATTGAACATATTATTTAAATGGACATAATATGATATATGTAACTACAATGTACATTGCATTACACTTATTTATGTCCCGTGTCGCAGTAGCTATAGGTGCTGGCACGAAAAAGATCCTTCACTGCTCAATGGTACTCAGTGCCGAATATAGGAACAATTATGCAGCTCTCCACCGGCAAATGGTGGCGTCTCCATATTAGTGAAAAATTCTTGAGAGTGACGTTAAACAGCAAAACAGATTAACAAACTGTGACACGGGACCTCTGTTTACTAAGGACCTGTCTCCACGTCCCTATATCGGATTCGAACCCGCAAAGTAAGGATCAACTCCTTACACTGCTACTCTAGAGCAGACGCTTTAACCACTGCGTAATGATAGCCTTTGTAGGTTTTTGTGCCCAGGAGGCCCAGGTTAAATCGATTATCGTTCGTCGTGTCAAACTAAAGACGTAAACATAGGTTGTGACAGTTCTTTCTACATGCGTCTCAGCACAAGAAGCGAAAGTCATTGGTCTTTCAAATGAGACCTCAAAAACCGAGGTCCCGAGATAGGCGTTGTCAAAATATACTGACACTGAAAAGAAACGCAAGACACTTATTTTAGGGGAAAGTTATATACGGGTTATAGGGAACT